TAAAATCTAATGTGGCAGCATGGTGGGGGGAGTGATTGATGTCAGCGAAAGCTTTGTTTATCGAATTAACTGCAAACACATGTAATAGCAATGATTCAACACCTGTTCAGTCGAATATCTGGAAAATTCGACCATCCCAACGATGACAAATAGGAGAGAATAAAAAAAACTATAAAACTCAAGTTTTGAAGTGGTGTAATTATAGTTGATATGATTATGAACAGTAATAAATTGTGTTCGAAACTGTGTCATCCAGTAAATAATACCGTTTCACTGTGCGACATATCTAATAGACAAACTAATATGAAATTACTTACTACCACAGTGCCCAATTTTTACACATGTATTTATGTCAGCGCTTAATTCTGTGAGAAAGTGTACTGCATGAATATGTGTGTAAATTTTTACTTGAGAAGTTTCAAACACAACTTATTATTCAAAATCATTCAAATTGTAACGAATCTGAATTCACGGTTTACCAGTTCCCCCAAGTAGCTGGCCAGAATTTTGGTACACCGGGTACACCGCGGATGATCTCAACTACAAACGAGCGAAATGGTCATCTAGTAATTACATCACTTCGATAAGGCTAGCGACCGCCAGTGGTTAACGTAAATAGAGTCTGACTACTTAAATCAATGGAGAGTGGCGGAACTACATAACTTAGAAACTAGAATTTGCACTTCTCGTTCTCCTTTCCCACTTTATGCGGTTGTAATAGAATTTCCCCGGGGCGTTTGGGACAGGTGTTGCACCTGTCCTCCAATGATTCAATAAACAAAACTGCATTAGTTAACAATAAATTACACAATAGAAAATTGTGTTCGAAATGTCATCCAGTGAATAACAGTGTTTCACTGTCTGTGATATATCCAATAAACAGACGAATATAAAACGGCTGCTACATGTTTCAATGAAACTGCTTATCAAGTTTCACCTTATCTGTTGTTGTTCTGAATAAATTTGTGCGTTCAGAGTGAAACATAGAACTCCAAGCTTTTAAAGTTTCAGGGGAGAAGCATTTGTTCTTACGCGGTGGCTCTACATTTTTTCGCTGCTGATTAGTGTTCATCCGTCAAAACGACTAATTTGTGGCTATTACCATAAATAGTAATCAAGAAAGTACTCATATTTGCATAAAAATACATATATTACTGATTAGTTGGAATGAGTAGTTGCAGACTATTCATACCAACCAGTAGTAGAGCTTGCAAGCTAGATCGAGGTTATCTAAACACCATCCGGCTGTATTGTTCGTTTGTGGCCGATCTCGTCAACGGTGAACCCGGTTTTGATTCAGCTAAGAGAGCGCAGAATCAGTTCATATCACCCGAGTGACCCAATTAGCTGATTCGTCTCCCCTAGCCGAGTCAAAACCTGATGCACTGCTGATGAGTTCTGCCCCAAAAACGAGCAATACAGACGTCCAATGTTTCGACTACCTCCGTCTGGCTAGCTAGCACTCCTGGTTTGTATGAGAAGTGTATTACTACTCATCTCGATTAGTTAGTAGTATATAGTTTCATGATGTTATTTTATTGATGACAACCAGCAGTGGAATCCAAGACGTAAATGCTACTTGGGACTCGTCATCTAGACGCACCCAAAGTTTTTCAGTCCAAATTCAGTGGACATATGTCCAGATGACGAGTCCCAAAGTAGGATGAAACATCCGCCATAGATTCTACTAGTAGCCGGTACATCTGGAATGAATTTCAAACAGCAAGAAGAGGAAGAAGAAGAAATAACCGGTCAGATTTACGTTATCCAGATTTTCATTTCGTAAGATAAGCCACGAATATAAGGAGAGTGGAGTAGAATAGAAGACACGGAGAAGAGCTTTACTTGTCTGTGAATTTTGCAATAAAATTACAATTTATAAGAAGAAGAAAACAGCAAAAGGCATAATTATGAAATATGTGCTCTAATTTTATGACACATAACAGAAAAATTACCTCAATCTGTACATCTTTCTTCTGGCCTCTTTTTTCTTATTCTGTGGTTTATCATACTTATCTCATAATAAGATATACACACACATAATTAAGGGTATAATTAAATTTTAATAATCTGATGTGTATGTAAGATGAAGTGTATATATGTGAAACAGATGTAAAGCCTTGCTTTGCTTCTTTTCTTTTCTGTTCAAGAACTAGGATTCTTTTTCACTCATCATTTTCTTACAGATGTGAAGCATTGTAGTGAATGATTTGTGTTCATTTGATGGGAAGGCAGTTTGAGATGGTTTGGGGTTTGGAAGAGTATTAACATAATGTTGTTGAATGTTGATTGAAGACGTTAGAGTGCCAACAAGAGGCCTGAGGACTGCTTGGTCCAATGATCAACCATCATTTCTCTAAATTTGAAAATGGATTACATAATTCATCTGGTAGTGCACAGGAAGTGTTTAGTTTGAATCCTATCTATTATTACTATTTTCTTCTTTAGTTCCTAGAGGAACACATGTTTCCATTGCGTTCGGTTCTCCGCCGACGTTCTCACTTGACTTCACGTCTGACCACATGCTTTCATCTCCTCTTCACATAACCTCCTCCTCCATGTCACCATCATACTAACGACCAACTCGCTGCTTCCCATTTGGCTTCCACTGGAGCGATGGCCTGGCGTGTGATGTCACTTGATGATTTGTTTTCTCAGAGTATGGCCAGCCGATCCACCTCAATTTCTTCCTGCATATTTGTTGCAAAATTGGTTCCTGTTAGGTTGGTTCGCTCATGGCTAGAGATCCCTATTGCTGATCTTTTCTGGCCTGCCATCTGATCTTGCTCGGAGTATTGAGCGAAGACAGCTGTTGATGAAAGTCTTTAGTTTGTTCGAAGTGCCCTTCGTGACACGGAGCCAAGTCTCTGATCCGTATAGTAGCACTGACTTCACATTCGAGTTGAAAATCTCGATCTTATTTTTCATGCTGACTGCTGTTCATCCCCACGCAGACTTCAGATTAATGAGAGCTTGCCTTGCTTTACCGATCCGCGCTTTGATGATTTCCTCATCAGTTTTGTTCGCCTGTAATTGAAACGATGCCTCCCAGGTAGATAGATAAAGGAGGTTGCTTCTTTCAGATTTCTCCCAATTAATGCTGACTGTTGTTTGTTGTTGTTGCTGTTTCTGTTGGTGTTGGCCAGGAATCTTCATCATCCCCTCTGTTTTCTCTACGTTCACCTGAAGGAAGTCCTATCTTTGATGCTTCTTCTGCTAACTTGTTACTTTTCACTTGCATACCTTCCAGTTTGTGGGAAATCAGAAATATATATGTCATCGGCGAGGTCGATATCTCGCAAGTTTCTTGTGTAGGTCCATTTTATGCCTGTTTCCTCGCTACTGTCTGTCTCATTATCCAGTCTCCCGCAATCAAGAAAATCATTGAAGATGGTAGGCAGCCTCGTCTTACTCCTGTTTTCATTTTGAAGGCTTTCGTGAGTTTCCCGTTGTGGATTAATTGGCGTGCAGCATTGTCGCAAAACTGTTGGGTGACGTGTATAATTGTTGGTATCATCCCCTAGTAGCGAAGTAGTTTCCAAATCACCTCTCGATAGACGCTGTCGAAGGCCTTTTCAAAGTCAATGAAGCTAAGGTGGAGAGGTGACTGCCCTGTTCAATGATGATACGTAGTTTTGCGATTTGATCGATGCGTAACTTGTTTCTCCTGAATCCAACCTGTTCCAGTCGAAGTTTTTCATCCAGGGCGGCGTGTTTGATTCTCTCCAGGATGATGTGGCTTAGTATTTTGATTGTGATGGGCAGGAGCATAATGCCGCACCAGTTATTGCATACAACTTCTATTACCTTCTTGATTTTTCAGTTACATTATCATCAAGTGGATCATATTCTGTGATCTCAATAATTATCCTGAACTGCTTAGTTTGTGAATAGCGATTTCATTCCATCTTAGTTAGCACTGAAAAATATTATTGTTAAATACTTTGAAATACTAACGATTAAGCAAAAGATAAGTGGCTTTCTTCTGGGTTGGATGGTAATGGCTGTTACACTATATATGATGAATTAGGCCTTTGTAGACGCCAAGGAACATACTTTCAACGAACGTGTTAATCTCGTGAGACACGTGGTTCTCACTGGTATTCTCAAGACAACTGTGCAACCTGACACTTCTGCAATACAGAATACCTTTAGATCATAAAATGTAATTAACGTTTCACTAAGAGGGACTTTAATATTGTTGCAATGAAACGATTTCACGATGTATCGTATTGTGACACAAGACTGAAAGGTCTTGAAATGATGAAGGCGTTTTTTTCCTAAAATCAATAATTTTGGTGTAGTTGTGTTGTCTGAGTAAGGTGGTTTAGTTACAAAGCTTTCCTTGTCCTTCTAGACAAATTCTTTGAAGCTTACTCGAAGAATACTATCAGTCTAACTTCCAAAGTGGTCACCAAGCTGAATACCTCATTTTCCTCACTAAGGTGACTTTGGTTGGTTGAAGAGAATACGCAGATATCCTTAAAATTAGATTTCATATTTTCCGTCACCAACAAGTCACGTACCTTAGTGAAAATCTTGCAAACTTATTTGAAAGAATTCCGTTAGCAATGAGGTTTATAGAAGTAAAATTGGTTACTCCGAGGTGACCAATCAAAGTATCCGTCACAGTCCTTCATGGGGTCAGTCATGAATTCGAGTAGTTCTGTAGTAGGGCTTCTGACTGCAGCACTGACGACGCAGATTCGAGTTTCAGCAGATAAGCCTTGATAATCAATATCAATAAGCAAGAAATCTAAATGTAGGGTCTTTTTGGTGACAACCTCCGACCACCTAACACTAGATCCTAGCAGGCTCAGGCACTTGGCGAACAACTCCACATATCACAGTCTAGTTTACAAGACACCATATAGCCACTTAAAGCGCCATATGCAAAGCACGGTACTAATAAGTTAAAGCTTCGAACTGTTAGTTGATTTGTATTTAATTCTGATATATTTTTTGATGGGATAATGATTTTCTTTCCCCCTGAATTACAGAAATGTGCACCTGGATATCAAAAAGATCCTGAGGATCCATTGAAATGTCGACCATTCTGTGCATGTGATAAATGTGATGCTGATGGGAATTGTATCAACTGCCCTGGTAATCGTGCTGGTCCAAGATGTCAACAGTGTAAAGAAGGCTTTTATCGTCCAGATAAAAATCTGATAACAAGTGACTGTCAACCGTGTGATATGTGTGGCAATAATTTACCATAGTAAGTTTTTTTCCTTTTCTTTTTCATTCTAATTCACTTCTGAATGTTATGTATTGACATTTTGTATTCATACTCCAGGGCTGAATATACTTAGCTTACTCATCAGATGTCTTCAAGAATGGCAACTAGAAGTGGAAGCCAAGATGAGCATTTCGTCCTACTTGGGACTTGTCAGCTGGATGTACTCACAATCACCAATACCATTCGTTTCAAACGTCAATTCTTTATCCACCAGACCACTGGGTCCACGGGGATCAGATATTATTTGTTTTAAGTCAATGTGGACTTTCTCATTGTTTGGTTAGATAGAGACGTCGGGCGCCTGTTGAAACGTCTGCTCCTAGTTCGTTCGCTTCAATAATGTCTGATGGTCAGCATTAAGCTAATGAAGTCGGCCGCACAAAAAGCGGTTCTCGTGGCCCAAGTGCTCTGGTAGATAATTAATTGGCGTTTGGGATGAAAGGTATTGGGTTCGAGTCTCGGCAGGAGCACCACCACTCATTGGGCATTGCAGGTACATCCAGCTGACAAGTCTAAAATAGGATATAATGATCATCTTCGATTCCAGTGCCAGTCATCCTGCAACAGACTAGTGCATATTAACTTCCACACCGTGTGTCAACAGTGGCCGAATGGTAAAATTAAAAATAACTTAAAAGAAATGACTCGTGATGAAAAAGTTGGTCGACTCAGCAATCTAACTGATGGACAATTTTGGTTGTTTTGTTCGATTGCAGGATTCTAAAGTAAACTTTTGTAAGGTCCACACATTTCAAAATCTAATATCGAACCTCGCCTTTGCAGATTTATTGATAACACACTAATTTCATTTTGTTTACCTTCCACATCGATGGTTTCTTCTCACCCTGCGGGTGATGTAATCAGTATCTTAGATATTCAACATTTGGCTGGTGAGGTTTACCCTTAAATCTCCTCTCCATGTAGCCAGGATTACACAGACAGTTAGTATCAATAGGCTTAAAAATCATAAATGTGACTCGCTGCCATGTATATTAAGTGACATTTCAGTTTATTTTAAACTGGTACTCAATCTAACAAATTAAAAGGAGAGGCAGCTTGTAGACTGTTGAAGTGTTATCGTGGAAGAGTCTAGTGCTCCCTGACTATCGATGATTCTCTTAATGACTTCGGTTTGTGTTGGATGATACCTTAAATTTTTCTATCCGTTTGATGACCATATCATATTATCAAGAGTTGGTTTATAAGGATTAAACTTGTTTTTACGAGTTTAACCATGGATTGATATCAGTTAGAGAGCAATTGAAAACCGTCCGGAGAGTACTGGACGGCTGTTTCATCCTAGTTTGGGAATCACAGGCAGTACACACTCGCCACTGGTGTTCGAACCCAGAACCTTCCGGTTACAAGACAAGCTAGCTCGTTTCCCATTCAGCCACTGGGACCCCATACAATGACCGATCCATGAATTCTAACTTCTACGAATTCGTGACTTAGCGCGACCAACCAATATCATAGGCAGGAGATCCATCCTCACACGTAACATCTGAATGGTCACACTGGTCACGACTTCTCACTGGAACTTCAGGAAACTCCATCCTGTAGCAAGTCACTAGCGAGTATCAGATTAATTTTCTATAGTTTGGTTTGTAAGGGTTAGTTATGTATTTCCCAGTTGATCACGGTTTGTTATCAGTTAGAGAACGGCTGAATACCAGGGAATAATGGACACCTGTTTCTGATTTCCTAGTTTCATAATCATCGGAAGTACGCATCAACATTCCTGTGTCGAATCAAGCACTTTCCGGTTACAAGCAAGGAAGCTCGTATACCATTCAGCCACTGGGACTCGATTCAATGACCTGCCAATGAATTCCAACTTCTACCAATTCTTGTTTAATCGCGACCACAAATATTGTCTTCGATGGGATATCCATTCTCACACGTGTAATCTAAATAGACCTCAATGGTTACGGCTTCTCACTGGAACTTCAGGAAACTCCATCCTGTAGCAAGTCACTAGCGAGTATCAGATTAATTTTCTATAGTTTGGTTTGTAAGGGTTAGTTATGTATTTCCCATTTGATCATGGATTGATATCAGTTAGAGAACCACTGAAAACCAGAGAGTCCCAGTGGCTGAATGGATACAAGCTAGTTTGCTTTGTAACCGGAAACTCCTGGGTTCGAACCCCGTTGGCGAATGCGTACTGTCGATGATGCTCAAACTAGGATAAAACAGCTGTTCAGTACTCCCTGGATGGTTTCCAATGGTTCTCTAATTGATATCAATCCATGGTCAAACTCGTAAAAACATATCATATTACTCAATTGATAGTTGTTGATGAGTACATATGTAACTAGACGATCCTACCAGTCATCGCTTTTTCGACTTATTTACTCAGAATAAGAAATAAGTATTAAGTCACTCAGCTTTGAATCAAATTACTAAAACATCAGATATTAAGATCTTTATCAGAATTCAAATAAAATCTTATTTTATTTTTGTATAAAACATCATTCAACAACCATATGTTTAACGCAGAATTAAGCAAAAAAAGGAAGGCAGTGATTTCGTCTATTAATTTATGCTCTTTATGGCAGTTAGGATTTGTGGGAATATATATATCTATATCTGTCTCTCCAGATTGAAAAACCATCAGAAATCTACCGCAATCTTTTTATTATTCTGAAAGGAGTCTGTAATTCGGCATGAAAAAACCATATGTTCTCTCTTTGGGCAAATCAGAATTATAGGCTTCGCATATATATATTTATATATGCCTTTGTAATATATTTAATTACCAGTGAATCAAAACAATTCTAACGAATTTGCTTTGATCCTTTTTCATCATCAACAAAGCAATAGCAGCTTAGAAATCCTCACTGGGTCGTTTAAAAGATTATCAAAAATAGGTTTACTGGGATTTGATTGCTTATAAGATCGACTGTAAACTTGAAATCAGTTAGAGAACCATTGAAATACCTAAGAGTACTTGACGGCTGTTTCATCCAAGTTTGGGACTCTTCACAGTCCGCCGAATTGCGAACCCCGGACCTTTCGATTATAAGGCGAGTTGGTAGTCAGAATTTGTAACCAGCAGGGTCCAACAAGTCAGATAAGAGGACATTTACTCTCCTGTCACACTGGCTGGAAGTTGCGTCGGTAGCACGGCGGTTAGGACTCTCGTCGACCGTGCACATGGTCCGGGGTTCGATCCCCTACCGACTCACACCTGATATCAATGATTGGCCTGCAAAATTTGAGCTAACGATATCATATGCTGAAAATTCCATACTTGTACTAAAAATACGGTGTGGAATCAAGCTAAAAAATCAAAAATATATATCACGAATTGGCAGAGGCTTCAGTTTATGGACCATTGGGTCGAGTCCCACTACCTGAATGATCTATGACTTCGACTTGTTACTAGAAGGTTCTTGGTTCGGAACCCGGTGGGTGTGTACTGTGAAGAGTCCCTAACTAGGACGATAAAGCTGACTGTCCGGTACTCCACTATTTCCAATGATTCTCTAACTGATATCAACTTGTGATCAATAGCATAAATGAAATGCAGCTTAGAGAAGAGTCACTCTTCTCAGCGATGACATTCGCAAGCTGTACAATAGTATATAGAGATAGTTGGAATGTTTTCAAAGATATGTCATTAGAAATGCAAATTGTAGATAACAGCTAAGTAATTTAGGAAGCATTAATTATTCAGAAACTGACAAAAAATTGAATTAGCAAATTGAGTGACATCATTTGATTGACGGGAATGAGTAGAAATCCACTGAAATTAAGAGTCAAGTTAGAGAGTCAAAATGCATAAGTGGGCAGTGGGTGGAGAGAGAAAATAATACAATTAAAAAACAAAAGCAAAAAATTACACATCCTATTTTAAGACAGATTAGGTCCTTTGGAGCTTTAGCGACTGAACAAACTTCTACTGTATGCAAAGTTCCGGATTTAACATGTGGATTGCTATTGCTACTGTGGTTCGAAGAAGTTTGATTTGTCCCACGTATTCTGTGGATAACTCTGAATTTCGTTTGCCTCTTTGTTAAGTGTCCAGATTTGATCAGGTGTTTAAGGATTTAGGGAGGGGCGGGAGGATCTTTCTTCTCCTTTATAAAACTTTGAGGGTAAGTTTTAGATGATACATTTGGACAGCAAACGCTGAGTGTGGCCGATGTAACTTGATCCACAGGAGTAGGTGAATTGACATATAAACACTGATGAGGCTAGCAGCAGCAGCTTATGTTTTATGTTCATGCGAATCAATGGTTTCGTAGAGAAAGAGAGTTGAAGAAAGTTTTCTTCAGTGAACAGGAGAGGAGGTTTCCTAATATTTCTGGCAATGAGTCTCCATTGAATTTTAGATTCAGATAGAGAAGTCTTTTAGTAGCGGAAGGTGTGGGCAGTTTTGGTAGTGTATAGTCCCCTATGGTCCAGCAAATGGACTTAAATGTAATTGTCCCGACACCCTTGTTTTCCTTCTGTCACAGACTATTCGACTGCCTGTGTTGGCAGCTTTTCTCTCACCATTACACTTAGCTTTTGAGTTAACTCACAATCAATTTGAAATTTACTATGATAGAAACACACAATGTGAACGTAAGTGTTGTACATGAGTAAAAGAATGCACTCAGAGACATTCACTTATTTTGGAAGGTTTATAAGCGTATATATCAATGAGCTAGATATATCAATTATGATATTATTCCTGACAGTGTTTATATTGTTACCACTATTAATCATTCTCTGGGTCCCGAATAGAATTCAGTGTCTCTTACAGATGGCTGCGTCACTACCCCCAAGGTTTTATTTCCCCCTCTCATGATCTTCAGCATGTCCGCCTGGGACGCCAAACTCATCGCTTTCCATTTTTATTTTACTTGAAGATCTACTTGGAGTCTGGTATCAATCGAATATCTGCTCAGCCTATGTCCATTCTACCTTAATCTTCCTTCTGAATATTTTTGAGCATTAGATTGTCTCCGTTGGTTTGCTACCACAGTTTCTACTTACTTATCCTCTCTGGCGGACAGTTTTGACCCTCACTACTGAGCTAAAGCGGCTGTTGATGAAAGTCAGCAGTAGCCTGTTGGGAATACCTTTCTTGATGTGTCCAGCTGACGAACCATATAAAAGCAGTGACTTGAAAATTCGGATCTTGTTTCTCCAAGTTCATTCTGTGCATCTGCACACTGATCTCGGAGTATTCGACATATGGATTATTTTGATTGGACGCTAGTCAGTAATTAGTGTATTGTGTATGTCTAGTCCTATCTTTAGTGCAGACTGAATTCTATCAGTCAAATTTGCAATTTGGCCGCCATTCTAGGTGGTTCTCCATCACGGTGCACTGATACCAACATGGATTACTTTTCCAGTTGTGACTGGTAGTTGAAATCACGGTAATGACACTGTTTATGGTGCGATTACTTCCGCTTTGCGAAATATTGTTAAGCTGAAACTTTATCTTCAGCTGTATACTTAATAAAGATTTCATTCATAGGGAAAAACACAATTTTTGTTCAGCGAAGAAATATTTCTCTTCAACGACTTCATTTTCAAGATGTACAGTCATATTTATATTACGGAAAAAGGCATTCGGTGGGACTAGAAATTGCTCACTCAGTATACATGTGTATGAATTAGTGAATATTAGATATTTCATTACCTGTTAGAGATGGTTACTGCAAAAGCACAATTAACAATACTATACTCTCATTGAGAATTTCTTCATTTTCTCTCCTATACTTTCTTTTACTTTCAGCGTTGTTAAAGAATGTCATTTCAATCCACAAACAGACGATGACTATTTCTGTAAATGTAAAGTGAATGAAGACGGGAAACTTATTGACGCTAAATGTGATCGATGTAAACTAGCTGTGGATACAGGTGATGAACCACCTGCGGATGCTAAATGTGATACTAAACCTGAGCCAAGTGATTGTCACTATCATGGAACACAATCGATTACAGACAGTGGAGAATGCCAGTGTAAAGTACGTTTGTTTTAAGCGGACAAAAAACCAGAACTATTTATTAATTATTTGTTATGTTTATCTAATGAAGAATACGATTTTCTCAACTCTGGTTGATGGTTTGATAAAAGCAGAAGTGTATATTCACCCTGATCCTGTAGGCATTGTCGGTATTTCCTCACCTCAACGCTAAACAACTGCCACATTCAAGTATTTGGTTTGTAGTGATTTGATTGGTTGCTCACAGAATTTCATCATGAGCTGACATCAGTTGGAGAACCATTAGAAAACCACAACGGAGTACTGGACAGCTGTTTCACCCTAGTTCGGGATTCTTTATCTGCACGCGGAGTTCGTACCGCAGGACCCTCCGGTTGACGAAGCGAACTCTGTAACCATTAAGGCCACTGGGACCTGGCTGATGCCACGGCCTTGAATTCTAAACTTCTGCCAGATTCACTGACATAGCGCGACCCCTACAATTCCGCGAGTATTTGTCCTCACACCCTGGTTCTCAATGGTTCTTCAACTGATGCAACTTCGAGGGTTAGCCTGAAACTAATCAACTCCCTGTACACTAAAATCTGGATGCATATTAAGATGCTGCACTGTGAAAACAGAAAAATTTATAAACTATTTCATCACCTAATCGTGGAGACTAAACTGTCCGTTTTCATTCATTTTTTTCCAAATTTCACTTTCAAAAAAATAATATCGTGCTACGGTGTGAATATATATCACATCTGCAAATAAATGGAGTATGTTTAAGGCTTATTGATGTAGCTTGTGCGTTTAGGGGATTATGAACATAAGAAAATTGCATGAAATGGTTTTTAATTGCCTAATCATTCCCCCTTTGATTCTGATAATTTATGTTGACTTCATTTAATCGTGTGAAACTGAAAGCTTTTCTCCGCATTTAGAAAGCAACCATTTTAAGTGGACTGAAGAACGTACACAGTAGGCGAGGCATTCTGTTTAAACAAAGAGTCAACTTTATCACCATAAACTGCTTCATTTCCTCTAATAAGGTTTATTATTTCTAAAGTTATCATTCAACTAGTATTTGGATAATGGGCTGTTGTAAGAATGAAGATAAATTACAATGTGCTCTACGTTGGATTCGAACCTTGATTGAACGATAATAACAACAATATCGTTACGCAATATTGCTGGCTTTCATCTCCATGCTCAGTAAGTTCATAGTGCATACCGTGATATTATAACTGTTTAAAATAGTATCCAGATGAAAAGCAACTATGATATAAACTGATATTGTATTATCTTGACGAGTTTGTAGTTCATGCTACACTGAAGCTCACCAGAGAGTAAATTTGTACGAAATGAATTCGGATATGTCCCAGTGTTCGTTTGCAATGATTTGATTAACTTTAAGTTAGACCACAAACTGACTTTGCTTAGACAAACCATCGGAGAGCAGGAAATACTGGATAAACGCCTTCCGTTCTTATTTGGGACTATACAGCTGTAGATATCGAAAATCTCACCACCAGTATCCTTCAAGCTAAAAGGGCTGTTCGTGGCAACCACAGTCCCTGATTTTACATTGGTGCACGTGTGAAGTGAGTTTCTGTGTTCAACCTTAATTTGAATAGCTTATCGTTCGTTTTCAGACGCAATTATCTCTAGGTAGCATACATATTGTACAATTACAAGTATTCACTAGAACCTTCTACATTGTATTAGTTAATTTGATGTAACACGCAAAAATCCAACAATAATAATGGGATAGATTGTCGAGAACCCTGGAATTCCTAATGATAATATCAATGTATCTACAAGCCTTCTTACTTAGTTTATGCAGTTTCACTCCCTATTGTGTTTCGTTCAAATTCCTCACGTATCAGGAAATATATTCCAACATTTTTGAATTTCATTTATCTCATGAAACTCAGTGAATCCAGTTTATGTGACTAACCTCTCTTTTAACTAAATTGTATTGCCTATTTACAGATGTTTTACTTCATTACTGATGAAATCAAACAAATGAGAAATTATCACCTTCAAGAATTCAGTCGAAAACCATATGAATACTTACAGTTTTATGGTAATTAGCATTGATAATAAAGAATTTAATTTCCCTGATAGTACTGCAACATAAGGAAGGCATGCGGGAACCCCTGTGTTGGATTATTCATAAGGCTTCAATTAGGGTGGCATTTAAAGCAACCAGATCAATCAGAGATAAACGTTCCCAGCTTATGCATTGAGCAGACGCGGTCATATAATATCAGTAAAAAGTTTGAGTATTGTGGATTAGATCGAATAAAGTATAATTCTATTTCAATAGTTTACACACAATGATAAGTTTTGTTATTGGTAATATTTCGAGGAAAATTCCTGCCCATGTTCACACATCTGTTGGAATTGTTTGATTCACACATTTATGATTTGTACTCATATATGTAGTTCATTATTTTTGCTCATTCATGTTTTTTTGTATTTAAGTTATATTCCACGTTCATTCACGTTTTTTATATTCAGAATTATATTCCAAGTTGTTGATAGTTGTACTGAGTCACCCTTGTTACATGTATCCGGTGTGACTTTAATGAATATCGATTCTGTTATAAGTCTTTCTTTCCAT